TGCAGACTAGTGGGCTACTGGCTGCTGCTGCTTAGCTGCTGCTGCTGCTCTTACTGCTAGTGCTGGACTCGCTGCTGCCGCTGCTACTGCCACTGCCGCTGCTCTTGCTGCTGGTGCGGCTAAACTTGCTTGTCTTATTCCCTGGCGCGCTCCCCCTTGCGTCTGCCGGGGTCGGCGGATATGTAATTATACCACCCACATGACAGCAGTTTCATTGGGAGAATTATCGCTAACCCGCGGGTTGGGGTCACCCACACAACATGATCCCCAGCCACCAAAAGCCAGGAGCTGGATGTGAACAGCGAGAGCTTGCGGCTGGAGTTGCAAACATCGCTGGAGCACAAGATCTGAACCTCAATCTGAACAGTTTTAGGCAGCTAACTTTCCAAGCCAATTGGTTGATGATTCATTGATATGATTAGATCGGTGGGACAAGTCCCAACATACACTAGGTAGTACTGATATCATGATATCATCATCCATGACTCTTGGGGAATCCCATTGAAAACCTGTGATTTTCCCGATCGTTTGATCCCTAGTAGCTGGGCATGGCTGCATCCCCATGTCCACTTGATCCGAAAAGTCTTGCTTGAATCCCCTTGTTTGGTTGATCTTCTAATGCTTAATCTGATACTGTACATAATATTGTTTCATACCTGGTTGGTGGTTTCAAACATTTTCTATGTTCCATAATATATGGGATAATCCTTCCCATTGACTTTCATATTTTTCTGGTTAAAACCGCCAACCAGAAAACATCAGAACATCAACCATGATCTGTGGCCACCTGGGTCTGAAAAAAAACACCCATAGCCAAAGGATTTTTCTAACTATATAGTTGGTATAGCAATTTTGAAACAGTCTCTGCAGATGTTTTGAAAGGGATGCTGCAGTTGTGGGTGACTAGTTAGAGATACCCTCTGGTAAACTAACATAACTATGGAAAATCACCATGCTTAATGGGAAAAACTCACTATAAATGGGTCATTTTCCATAGCTATGTAACAAATTACCAGATACAATTAGATACAATCACTTCCCCCTTTGTGGCCCTTGAAAGAAACAACGAAAGCTGGGTGGAATGTATTGGATCTATGCATCAAAAAGCCCAATCGAAGATCATGGGAAACTGAAGCTTTTCTGTATCTTTGTGTGTTTCTGAAGTGTTACTATACCTATATATATAGGTGTTTGATAATGAAGCATATATATATTATACCCATAAAATTGCCATTTAGCGGGAGGATAAATTAAGCCAAGCACTGGAAGTGAAGCACGCTATTTTAGAAAACCCGTAGTATTTTCCCAGCTAGAAACCCCCAGTATGGTTATACTATGAATTCCATCACATGCTGTATCCCCCTGAAATCACCAGTAGGAAATCCCAATATCAGCCGACATGTTCACACGATTTTTGTTGGTTAACACCACGAAGCATGATAGTTAACCATGATAGTTAACCATGATTAGCCGTTCAACAACACGGTGATTGGTTATTATGTAATCAGTGTCAAAGCATTAAACACCAAATCATCCCATTAATCGCCATTAAAAAAACATTACTGTAATCACCAGTAATTCACCGTTAATCAGGCATATAATCACGAATATTGATGAATCATTGTTAACCATGAACTATCAGTATGAAGCTTTCTAAAATGTCCTGCAAAGCGTTCAGCCCCTGCGAGGCAACCAAGTGACGCACCCCTTGGAAGAGATACGTTTTTTGGCAGAGCCATGCATTTAATCCAAAGATTGAATGGTTGGGGATTGGAAAAATAGCTGGTCGATACTTTTATTTGAGAACACTTGTTGATAGATTTGATAGAAGAGATGCCTGCTGCTGAACAATCCCCTACTTTGAAGCTTGAGAATTAATTCTGTGGTCATATAGCATGGTTCTTGGTTGACTGGTTTTCTGCGTTGACCTTAGTTTGATACTTTAGTACTTTAATCTTTTACTATCAATGATGAAATGCTCTAACAGCTACACATTGGATTCTTTGGCAGCTATCTAAGACTCACCATGTTGTGTTCATTGAACTTATCAATATATATGTAATAAAATATATACTGTAACTAAGATCTATCTACCAACCAGTACAATGGGATGGGATTGATGGGATTGGGGCATTCTTCACGGCTTATCTGGGCAAGAAAATCAACGCCATCACCACGATGTCACCAATCTTTCAGGTTGGTTATGCTTGGCCATTTGCCAGAAATTGTGTTTCCCCATTTTTTAATAGGACAATTATGATGACGTATATATATATATGTATAATATTTTATATATATATGTATAATATATATATATATATGTATATATAGAGGTGTTTGGTTTTGAGATGCACCCATTCACGTCTTTGGCTGACAGGTGATATACACATTTGGGATGAATGACCATCCTGGCGAACGTCATTCAAGTAGGCCAATAAAGTATACTTCTAACCCCAAGCCCAAGACAATGCTTGAGTAGCTGTGGTACTACCTCGGATGATGAAATTTTCCAAGATTGACAAATAAGAATCAATGATCAATTCCATATGATTCCATTTATTGATGATGACCTATTGTATGACCTATTGTAGGTGAATGATCAATGGAGATAGTCCACATCTCCAGTTTCAATCATATCCACATCGCTTAGGGCATGGCCTTGGGCCAATAGTATGGACTTCCACGGAGATTGATTCCTTAAAAGGGAAATCATTCGAAAACTGCCTAACAGTGAATTAACATTGCAGGCATGTGGATTATGGTAATTTGCCCAGATATATAGATAATAATGTAATGTCAACTCATTCAGTTTATACAGTATAACAATTATTGACACATGTCTTTCTTTAACATCAACTGATCAATGGCTACTGAATGATGTATAGACATAGACATACACATGATGTCTTCTGGGAAAAAGAACACAAGTGGTTAAAGAAAGCCTACACATGATGAATCCCAATGTTTCTTGCGTAGATCCACATTGTAGTTGATTGTTTAAATCCTACGTTGTGGACAAACAATTGAAGCTATGGCTTCACCCATCCCACATTTGAACCATGATATCAACCAGGGTGACGGTGACATTCGCCAAAATGTTTTTTTTCTGTTTACCCTATATCTGATTGGCTGATCAAGTATATATACTCCCCATATTCTCCATTCCAGTTTCGCTTTTCTGTAACTCCATAAAAATAAATATATGCACATATCATGTGTTATATCAAGTTGTATCCTCGCAATATCGCAATCAGCAGTTGTACCAGGACAACATTCCTCTTGTTGGTTGACTCCCAGAATATCCCATTGGTTGATTTCCAAAATATCTGCTTAGTGACCCCGGATTAATAAGCCCTGGGTGAAAATTTTGCTATTGAAATGGTACTCTCCCAATGATCGACAGCCCAAAGGTTTATTTTGCTCCGGGGTTTGAGAATATATCCAGCTCCATTCATTCAATATCCGTTTGAATCCCACACACACATATCCCGTAAAACAACCAGCCTCACATTGCAATCCCGTACTTTCCCACCTCCTAATTTTCAATGTGCAAATTATGAGGATACATATATACAAATATATATATAGGTTCGTATATACATTTTTGTAATTGGAGTGTATTGAGGGTTATATTTGGGATTTACTCATGGATACCCCTGGTAATTGCACATAGCTAGGAAAAATGGCCCGTTTAGTTCGATGATTTCCCTATTAACGGTGACTTTCCGCAGCTGTATTAAATTACCAGTGTCAGTGGGTATATAATCATATTCAATCATACTCCCACGAAACAACACCCATGATACCTCCATTTTGATGGGTCAGTTTTCCATCAATATAATTATATATATATACATAATTATACTCATTTTTGTTGGTTAATTCCGTATGAATAAATCCTCATTAAACCACCAAAAAACGATTTTTCCATCATATTAAATGGTTAAATTGGTGAAGTCTTCCTCCCAGAAATCTTCCATCATTCCCTGGTCCTCGGTTCAAACTTCGAAGGTCAAGAGCTGAAAAAGATCCAGGACCAGAACGAGCGGCGCTCCGTGTTGATGGAGGAGCAGGAGAAACGTCAGGCGCGGAGCATGGCGTGGTAGGGGGGCGTGGAACAAAAGTCCTAAAGCACTGAAGAATATGGTGGTAAACCTGGTCAAAGGAAGAAATGAAGATTAGCAGATTTCAACCAGACATGTTGGTAAAAGATAGGGTTGGGCGAAAGGGAGATTCATCGGAAGTGTAGAGATTTGAACCAGGAATGATGCTCATGTTCTGGATTCGACTTACTCACTGTGCACTCGCGGGAACCCGGAATGCCAAGGCCAACTTTGAAGGAATCAAAAAACCATCAAGAGACCAATGTCATTTGCCGCCTTTACCGCTTCACAGGCGATTGTTTAGTTTGAGAATTTGGTTTGCTTGAACTTATCAATGCTAAATGTGTATGAGTTTGCCATGTTATTTCGAGTGTGTTTATGGTTTGATGGATAAGGTTACGGCAAGCATAGCTTAAACGCAATACTCACCATGGTTTGGGGCAATTATATAGATAGATAAACGTACAAAAGTATAAACACCTTACATTTCCCTAAAGCTGTCAACCTTTAGCTTAGGCTTAGGATCAACAGACCACATCTATGGCTCAAACTTGAAGCCCAAGTCGGGATGGTTCCTCGCTAAATGTTTAGCACTGAAAAATGGTAAATTCTGACCTTTTGAGAATGTTTGACCCATACTACCCATACCCATATGGTTGCAACGGTTGCAACGGTTGCAACCAACTGGACAGCTTCGTAACCAATAACTATGGACCATATGACATTACTGCCAGGTGGCCGTACGTACGGATCTGGATCGCCTCAGATTCTCAGCTGGGGCGGAGGATCGAAGAAGAAATCACCCATTTGGGGGACAAACCATGAAGTATGTGCCTTAGGTGTATGTATCAAGGATAGCCACCCTGCGGAAATTGGTGCTACTGATGTTGTCTAGCAATGTTTCTGAACCCGGAAGCTCCAGACCGCCGTGACATTGGGAGTTGATCGGCAACAGACATGGAATGTATTCCTGACTGAACAAAGAACAACACGCGGGACTGAACCAACAGAAATGTGAATTTTGCCATGAAATTTGGATCTCGCCATGAATCCAGGCAGTTTGACATAATCAACCATGGGGGTTTTCACCTATAATACTATGGTGTGTGGTGCACTGGCAAAACCAGGGAACTCACAGAGATTATTTCTTAAAATATCATTCCAAGTGCTTTTTCATTGAACCATGGTTTCGCAGAGATATCCAGTTTGTTTTCTAGAATCTTCCAAAAGGGATGGTCAGCTTAATTGGATTGCATGGATTGCTGTCCCCCTGATAGCTTTAAAATGTTCTTCGATTTCTTTGTAACCACCAGCGACCAGGACAGCAAAATATCCTCCAGTGACCTAGCAGTGGACAGGCCTAGAAGCTTACATGGTACATGTTCGCTGCAAACCCTACGTTTGCCCGCCACGCGCCATGGATCCCGCATATCCTTTGACATGCTCAAATCCCTGCGTATCGGGCTAGCGTTTGTTGCTGTCCAAAACCTTGAACCCAAAAAAACCCTAAATCCTAACAACCTAAACTCAAAATCGCTGCGTATTGGCAGTGTTTTCATGCATCCGGTGACAAGTACATGATATTGTTTGGGTGTGTTACGTGGGTGCGGGCGAACGTGGGGTTTGCAGGGTACATATTTTTAGTGGCATTCAAATATAGAATAATCACAAATTTATGCTTAATCAACACTATTTCTGATTGGGTGTTTTTGCGGAACAGTGCTTCTACTAATTTCTCTCTTTCCTTTTTGGTGCTTACCCTTTTCCCTGCTTGATCAACGTCATGAAGTGCTGGCTGAATTCCAATGTTTATCATAAAAGATGAGTTAGGTCACTTAGGTAATCCCAAGACAAGGACAACTATATAAATCAGTTTTGTTCAAGTTGAGTGAGATAATCTGGGAACACCCCACAATGAGGGGTGTGTCTCTTTCAATAGCCTACCGCCTTTGATCGATCCCAGATTCGCCGCCTTGGGCGCCTTGGGCGCCTTGGGCGCCTTTTTGCCGAGGACAAGACGTTTCCAGCAATTCAGGGAAGTTGGTCCAACTGGCAGATCTCAAGTTGCAAACTGAGGATCAGGCCCGACATCCAGAGACAGGGACTGGTGTTGATTGGTTTCTTGTATGTATTCATCGTTCAGTATATGTGTACCGTTGTAATGGATATGATGTTAGTAATATCTTATTGACATTTGATATAAATATATATATGTGTATAGTACAATATATATATATGATTATATATGTATATATGATTATATATGTATACATATGTTTGTGTATGTATATGTATATCTACGTATGCCAATGTATAACATAGCATATTGGTCTATTATATCATGTATACAAGTATGTGTGGACTGTGTGGATGTATGTGACGATATTTGCATACACTAATAATCAATGTTTGTGAACATTCGGGAATCTTCATTCACAAACCAGTGTTTGCGGGATTGCCTGAAAGAATACACAATCCCTCTATTAGTGTGAATAATATCCCAATGTTTTCCAAGAACTATCCTAATATTTTCCAGTTGAATCAATTCGTTTTCGGAATTTCTATGATCAACCATGATCTTCATTTCTCAGTGATTTTTGGTATCCATATTCCCAACAAAAGATGGGGAGGCGGAGCGGAGCTTCGCTTCGAACGGAGTTTCCCAGACGTGTCAGGTTCGGGCCCATATCAGTGAGTTGCTGATCAAGGCAAAGGTCGATTTCCAAGAGTCCCTTGGCCCCCTTGGCATCCAGCCACAGAGATGTGGAAAGCCCCAGTTTTGCGCTGGAAACATGGTACGTATGGGACAAGAACGGGAAAACAATGGTGTAGATATGGAAAACCAACGGGTTTTCAGGGAACATGATCTACAAATGGTGTCTAATATATATATATATATACTGTACACATGTTAACACGTGCTGTTTACATTGTGCTCTGCTTGTGTTCATAGTTTGCACGTGTTTTGCACAGCTTGTTGCACTTTTCTTCTCTGAGTTTTGCAGCAAATCGAAGCTGTTGAGGTAGGCCCATGGTGCTTGTGGCAACCCCAACATGGCACCAGAGAAGTCCACTAATTTCTACGCTCAAAATAGCATCAACATATTATCAAAATAGTATCAACATAGTAGGAGCATTGTTTTTGTCACTTGGCAACTTGGAGAGGTGTAGATCCGGATCCATTTGTCACGCTTCAACAAACATTTCACTTGAGGCAACTACAACCCTTCAGCCCTATCGAAAGACGCCTGGAGCAGCTCAAGATCGAGGCGAGCCGATGTCGATGAAGTTGGTGCTACATTGCTAGGGAGAACAACCATTTTTTAAATGGTTGATTCATGGTAATTCATCTAAAAATGGATCTTTATGCATTTTCCACAACTATGTTTAACTACCGGAGGGTATCATACCCTATGGGTTCAGCCGTGCCTTCTGAGGAAGTATGACTGGGGGTTATGCATTGGCTGCATTGGGGGGTGATTTGTCCTTTCTCAGGAAGTATTTGGATCAACAGGCATAGTTTACCCAGAAGCAAAAACATAAAGAACTCATGCCACAGATCATGGTCAAATGATAAACACAATAAAACACAATTTATCAAACGATGCTATTTGAGTTTTCATGCGCTTTACCATGCTGGAATGGATACTTTCAGGGTCGATCTCAGAATGAAGGGTACCATGATGTACCATGTACATTGCAACCCCCAGAAAGATAGGAACAGTCGGAATAGTATAGAAGAGTAACATCCAATTCTAAAGTAGGGTTAACTCATTTGAAATTACTATATATATATACTTTCTCAACGACTCAGCGAGGTACCAGTAAATTCCAAGTGTCTGTGTCTTCATGACAGGACGTGCTGATAACTGGATGAGAGACACTGGTGGAACAAACAGCACTGAACTGGGGTAGCAAACAACACTCCGGGGTCTTAACAGCCTGTGAAATGATCGCAACTGCACTGGGCAACCAATACTGTAATTGATAGGAAGTTATGAGCCAAGCAAACGGCGAGGGGGTGCTGTTTCACAAGCCAAACGTTGGCCTAATGGAGGTAGCCAGCAACCAGAGTATACGAACGATTGACAAGGAGAATTGTTCAATGCAACCTCTATATCTACCAAAGAAAACATGGCTTCTGGAAAGTTTGTTCACTCAAACCAATGTTTGAAGTGCGTAAGTCACTAAGAATTTATTGCTGTGACATTTTGCGCACCCGGGGCAGGTATCTCGACATCAGACGATGGCAGAGCGGGCTCGAGAGGAACTAGGCGTGGCCCGCGCAGCGCGTTGAACCATCTATGTAATATACACTACGTCTATCTACGTCTTGGATGGTTCATTGCTGTTCATTACATGACCAATCTTATGTTGTTAATTGTTTTTGCGTTTTACCCCAGATCCCTGCAGTGTCGAGTAGCATTTGATACGCAATGCTTTTTACTTATTCATCATCTTGTAATTATCATGGCCAGTAACTTCTGTTCCCGCAGTCCAAACCTTACCAAAAACTTAATAATCAATCTAATCCCACTCAGATAGGATATGATGTGAAGAATGTGTGCTTTCCTATATCTGAATTGCAACCATTTCACATCGACCTCGCCAAAAACTATGGTGAGTAAGAGGAATCGTCCCCAAGTGTTTTTATTTAAAGTTTGCCATTCTCTTCCGAAGCAACAAATCACGAATCATTTCACGTTTATTCAGTAAAACTGGCATTCTTTACAGTTCTTTACCATAATCATCACTACAAGTCCATCTATATTTGATATATATATATATATATGTTTCATATCTGATAAACAATTTCATATCATCAATACATGTAACTTTCTTTTTGTTTTACAATTTCAATATATATTTTAATACACATCTCATCTTTTTGATCTATTTTCCCATGACAGTTTCCACCCATTTAAAACCTACGTCGCGTAAGGCGGGCTCCTGCGGGCGGAAATGCAAACCGTGGCCATGGAAGCGGCGCCGCTGGGTGAAAGTCGATGATTTGGAGGCACACCATGGTACACACAGAAAACACCCATGGAAACCATAGGAAACCTATATATTATTTGATATTTATATATACATAGTGAATCCATAGTGATGGATAATCTTACTGTACCATGTATACTGTATGTATAATATATATATACTGTATATTTTATATACATATGGTTATACAATTGTTTATAATATGATATGTATGTATGATATTCAGTTGTGATATGAGATGCTCTTGAAACCTTGATGCTGGGTTCCAATTTGCAGCCTGAAAGGGAAGCGGATGTACATGGATTTACTGTATAGTAGTTTCAAATCAGAAGTCAGTCAGTCAGGCATGAACATATCGGATGATTCTGTGGAAACAACTACAGTATGAATTACCTGGAGCCCCACGGCCCACTGACTATGGTAGCCTGGTAGCCATTGTCACAGGTCTTTCTTTTCCATACCAATCAACCGGTGACAATCTCAGCCCTGGCTGCCCTGGCTGCCCTGGCAGCGGCTGTGTACCTTCACCTCGGTTCTTCCAGTCATTGGGAAACCAGGCTGTAAGGCGATCAGCGGCTATCATATCTGCCATCTGTGGATATTCAAACTGGAGTTCTTCAATTATGTTTACATATGTTTTGAACAAACCTTGTTAAAGCCTGCAACCCACCCTGTTAAAACCACCATGGTGTTGCTTAAAGCATCTTATATTCCAGATATTTGCTTGTTAGGTCCTAATTTGCGATAGAGAACTGTGCTCTTTTCATGGTTGAACGCATTGTTGTTGCTGCCAGAATGATGCCAACAACTGACATTCCATGTTTCATGGTGATTTTCCCAGGGTTAACCCATTTTTGGTACATGGCCAGAGGGTTCTTTTTTGGGCCCCCCCCAGGTCCAGGCAAAAGATTCTGGTGGACCAAGAGTTGCGCAGTTTGTTGGACCTTCAACAGCGTCAGTTCCGCGGCACTTGCTTATGGGACCAGTGAGATATGGCTTACCCGATATGGCATGGCAAGGAATACCAAGAAAACATTGTTCACTAGGACCATCATCTGTGCTTTGAATGTAGTTTGCCAAAAATAGCAATATTATTACATTATATCATAGTCAAATTGTTTGATCAGCAGAGAGTGAGTCACTAAATGTCAGGATCTCTAGGCGGCCAACCTGATCATTTGTGTGTTAAAAGATTGCCCGATTGCCTGTAGAGTACATCCATGTACATCCGAGGTATGACGAATCGACAATAGTTGTAGATGTACTATATCCTGCGGATTATAGATTATAGATTATAGATTATAGATTATTTGTACTATAATATTGTACTATAGTTATAAACAAAGCTTGGATTACGATTTTTCTTTGTTCAAAACCGTGAATCCTCAGCAGCTGGGCGCCGACACTTCAGGGACCTTCCCATGATATTTTTTTGTTTGTTTCCAACGTCTATCAAAGACTAGATATGACTAGATCAATTTTAAAGACTAGATCAATTACTGAAATAATATATAACTTTGAAATAATTGGAATAACGTCCGTTCTGTATTGGAATAATCACTAGTCACCATCAAAAAAAGTTTACGAATCAACATTAGTATTTTCCCATGCAAAAATGGTGTTCATCCATTGTATGTTCCCAATTAGTAGTAGACATGAATGTTCCCATTCAAAAAAAAACGGCTGCCATGATTTGCACAGTGAACACATATGAACACCATCATCTACCTCATGGAAAAAAAAACACATCCTCACAGACTCACATGACTTTTCTCCGTAATTAAAGGCACGTTGGACAACGTGATTGTTCGCATCAAATACGTATTTCCTCATGGATACAGTTTTTTTTTTCCAATAGACAACCTGAATCTTTATAGTTTTTTCATGTTTGGTCCCATGAAACACAGTATATTCCATGAAGCACGTGATTTTCCAAGCGATTTTCTGCTGAAGACCGAGGTTCACAGAGGCTTTGGAGGCGGCCGCCAGCCGAGCCTCCTGTGAGTTGAAGGAGCTATCGGCAGGGCATGCCACTGAGGCGAGGGAGCCATGAGTTTGGCGAAGCGGATACCCGTATGATACTTGTTTTTTGGGGTATAGTTATGTGTTAATATGTTTTAAACAGTTTGCATCATGTTACTTTGATCATCATGAATCATAGTCAGAGCACGTCATAGCCGCATAGCCTGAATTGTATTAGGTTGGCAATTACATCAGATGTCGGGATATAGAGCAAAAGCTCGCATCCAATGAGAAGTTACTTACCCAACAGAAATGGATCGTGCTTTTTGATTAAATAGATAGATGATGATAGGATTTGACGGTAGAAACGACATATCTAACTATTTGTAAAACAAGAAACAGGAATGAGTGAGTGAGTGAGTGGAGATGGATTTGTGTTGGTCTTTTTTTACGGTTTACTTCGATGTGCAGTTGAGCATAAATGGGTTGAGTAGTGATAAAACACACCGCTATCATCCTTTAACTGGGCATACACCTTATATAACCATAGACCATGGTCATATATAACAAGTTACTAACATTGCTTGCACCTCCAAGTATTCTGGAAAGCAACGCTTGATTACCATTGGACTAGGGGTGAAGCAGGGTATTTTGTTTTCTTTAACCATAAAATGACGTATAATGACAAAATTACAATGAGAACCCCTTGTTGAAGTACTGGTAGCCAAGGGTGTGTGGCAACGATAGACGACAAGAAACAAACAGGTAAAACCACAGAAAAAGCATTTGACCATTAAGAAAAGGACAGACCCTCAAACTGATCAATGCCTTACCACTCTTAATAAAGGAACACGTGGTTTCAGAAGGTCACGAAGGGTTCTCCTCACACCTTGTGTCTTCCCTGCTCCTGCATGCTCCTGCTGGAAACAATATATAGGGCCTGAAATATAGCATTCTGGAGTGGTTGCGTCAGAGCGAACATGTCTATCGAGAAACTGCACGAGATTGACTCCCATCTGAAGACCTATGTCAAGACGATGCCCCTTCGAAACATCACACTCCACATGGCGGAGATTTTACCGGGTTCGTAGTTGTGCACGTTTTACCCAGAGGAAGAGCAACTGACTCCGACCCTCAGAGCAGTTGCCTCATAATGAAATGGAGGCATGGAGGGTTTTGATTCGTTGCCATATGTATGTTAGATATGTAACCATAATTGATCCCGGATATCCCCGTTCCTTCTGGATTCTATATCCAGTTCCCCCTATAATTGCTGATTATTTGATCTTGGCCTAAATTCCCATCGTACCCCATGAAGTCCCATATTATCCCAATAATAGTTGTTGGTGAATTTATTGCTATTGAGATATTTAACATCCAATAGTATTTAATAACCCAATTGACCACATTAGTTGGTATAAACCAATGAAATCCCATGGAAACCCCATGAAATCCTCCCCATTCCTGGATGACTTGATTCACGCCAGGTGCGCGCACTGGCGTTGCGCTTGACAGATGCTGAACGCTTCTCTCAGCAGGCGGTGAGATGTTGAGTTGACCCAGCCAACGAAAGGTAATAGGACTTGTAGAACGGGATTTAATGGGATTTATTTATATAATGAGAATTATTTTTTCAACAAGCACATGTCAATTATCATGAATTAACCAACAGCTAGACTCAAGGGGAGGCGCCGGGATGTGATCGGACATCCTGTCGCGTAAATTATATTGTCGCTTATTGTTTGATATGTATATACATATATATGTTTACAGTCCATTCCATATACTGATACATATATATAATTATATATATAATATATATATACATGCATGTAAGTTTGTATGTTCTGTTATGTTATGTGTGATACATACATACATACATGCATGCATGCATGCATGCATGCATGCATGCATGCACGCATATTACATATATATATATATTTAATATAATATATATATATATATGGATTCTCATATGTACATGTATATATATATATATTCATTTAAATATCCATATATTTCCCAGTATGATATCCCCATAAGATGGTTGGTAATCTATCACCCAAAACAGCTGAATCCACATTTAAATGTCAATCCGGTGGGCTGAAACCCCAGGTGGGTTTTGCGGTCCGGGAGATGCAGAAGCTGCGCGTCAAGGTGGGACGAGGGAGTCTGGGATGTTGGCTCTTGCAGGATCCACGTAGTTTCATATTGTGTTTTCTATTTGCAGATGGTATATATTATTTTTTTTAAAAAAAAACTATATATACCTAGACCCGCCAAATACGTAGAACAATGAGGTACGCTGTATTACATATATATATATATTTCATATATCAATAACTAACTAAATAATATCATAAATGTATATATATATATTTATAGATACTTTAATAATGTATCCATTATGACTTGGAACTTTTACCTATTCATCGTACTTGGAGGGTCAAAGTACCACTACTTGGGATGATTTATAACTGCCCTCCTTTCGATTCAAGTTGATACCCTCTGGTACTGACACATGGCTTGCTGGAAATTTCCCCGATTTTAGTTCGATGATTTTCCATGATTTTCCCATTGAAATGAATTGCAGGGCATTTCCCGTTGCCATGTTTGATTGGTGGAGAGCGAGCGTTTCAAATCCGTTCCCCCAATGGTATTGAATACCCTCTACACGAACATACAGGCTTGGATCTATTCATTTTGGGATGTATTAAATCGTGGTGGTAGCTAACTATCATTTTTGTTTTGCCTTGCTGTCCCCTTCACCTACGGTCTTGTTTGAAAGTAAGAAACCCCCAATGCCAGTGGATCAGAAGTTGTCCCATTCAACCGAGGCGTTGGAGAACGGCAGCAAGAAAGTGGTCGCCCCAGATCTGCGACCAAAAATGAATGGAACACCCAAGGATGATTTATATATCATCAAGGGTTTGAATACGTATAAATTAATCCCAAACCCTTTCTTAAAATTATGTATGATCATATGTATATGCATATATATATATATGTATATGTATGTATGTATATTATATATAGATACACCCCTAGGATCCGTTTAGCTATTAAGGATTAGGATATATCCTAGCTTATCCGCTTAAAAATCGCTTATTCACGATAAGCTATTTTTAGGCTATCAGCAAAATCAAAAATGGAAAGTTGAGAGCAGAGCTGACGGCCTCGTACCAATGAGTTTTGCGATTGTTCCATTCCATCTGTCTAAAGTGTTGCGCTTGCCATGAAAAAGTGATGCCAGGTCATACGAAGTGCTGCACCTGTCACATAAAATCATCTCAGCAAACCTGGAGATCTGATGCTCCAAAATGCAGCTACTCTCAGGAAATCAGCGCCCGGACCTCCTAACAGCTCTGATGAACATTTCTCTCGTACTGCGCCTGCCACGGAAAATGCATCTTTGCAGATCCTCTTCAAATGTCGCACAGCTGCCAATGTTTTTGAAACTGCTACAAAACCTTCACGTTTTTGTCACTTTTAGCAGGGTGCGGAATCCCTTGCGCCTGCCACACAAAAAGACGCTTCAACGTCCAAAAGTTGCGCGAACATGTGGTGCTTTGAGCATTTTCGCTTCCAAACGCGCTTCGCGGGCACTTTTTCGACATCACAATTCTTCAAAGTGCTCCGAAGCTGGTGTGCTTTGTACATTTTGACTTCGAAATGTGCTTCGCGCCACAACGGCGTGCACTTTTTGGACATCTCAACTTCCAAAAGTGTTGCGAACCTGGTGTGCTTTGCAATTTTTGACTTGGAAATGTGCTTCGCGCCACAGTGGCGTGCCCTTTTTCGACATCTAATCTTCCAAAAGTGCTCCGAAGCTGGTGTGTTTTGCACATTACTTGACCTGGACCTTCCAACTTATGGTCGTATCGAGCGTTTCCCCAAATAGTTACTCATGGTATGTCATGGCTTTGTTTCCCATCGTCATGGCCCTCCTCCCAGTCTTCTCACCAGTATTTTGCTTTCAAAAATATGGAGCCGCACATCCAAGTTGGTGTCTGTTTAATTGCGCGCTCCAAAATTTTACAAATTTACTAGATTCTTGGATTTGCGGGCGTTTGCGAGTTTTTGCGGGCGTTTTGCGGATTTTTGCAGGCGTTTTGCGGGTAATTTTGGGCGCAGTTTTGTGCATTTATATGCGTTGGTGCTGGGGATATGAGAATGGGACGCAGCCAGGATGCAAGCCACGTTCAGTCATATTCAAAATGTCAATTGTGGTGATAGTGTGGCCACTAGGAAGCAAAAGCAGGCAAACTAGTAGAATAGTTGAATTAGACGAGATTTTGAAAACTGGGTCATTTTAGGTCATACTCCAAAACTACCAAAAATAATTGATCGAAGGAATGTTCAGGGGAAATGTGCTTCGCGCTACAGTGGCGTCCACTTTTTTGACATCTCAACTCCCAAAAAAGTGATTTGAGGTTAAGTGTTTTGTACGGTTTTACTTCGAAGTGCGCTTCATGCCACAACGGCGTGCAGTATTTCATCTCTCATCTCCCCAGATGGCACCCGCCGCTTTAGCGAGCCTACTTTTCGACCGTCCGGAGCCAGAAATCAGTCAAAAAATGCAGTGCTTCGCGACCTTTCTACCTTTTCGCGCACCTTGATCTTTTCTCTTCTGACTCTTTCTCTTCTCTGATTTTCTTTCTTCTTCTCTTCTCTTCTCGTCTCTGACTCTTCCCACCTCTGCTTTTCATCTGTGAACTAAACTTCCTTCGGTGAACACATATCTTAAAAACTCATAGCGGGTGGCATGTGGATCAATTACGAGTTGCCTGCATCACTGCCGGGCCTCCCAGGCCGCTGGCGACATCGCTTCCGTTGCCGCTTCCGGCGAGACGCTGCGACAGTTGCAGCAGGAGATGCACAGCTTCGCGCGCTATACGGAAGCCAAGACCAAGGAGGGGACGGAACGACAATTAGTCAGTAGAATAACATGTTTGAATATGTTTAGATCACACACACATATATTATATATATTATATATATTATATATAGATAACGTACATTTTTTTTTACGTACTTACACTATATCAAAATATGTTATGTAATTATTATATTTAAATATATTATATGTATATATATATATATACATATATAGATATATATTACATATATCATGTAATTACTCAACATGATTATGTGGTATACATACTGGTTTGTGATTTGTTTACATCCTTGGAACGTATATAACGATTCTTTTCCACAGTTTGACTCATTCTTCAAGGAGGGCTGACCGTTTACCATCTGTTCAACCCAACTTGGGATGATCATCGCCCTTGACTAGATTTCTTTCCGGGCGAAGCGACCAACAGATCTGGTGTGGATATCAAATAGTATATCAAATGTAGCAATTTTCAACTAGTATGTATATAGATTTTTTCATATATATATATATAAATAAATAAATGCATGTTGGTGAATACTCCTTGGGCCTCCAAAACCATCCAAACAATGTTTGAACCAAACATTGGTAGTCTAAGACCCTAGAAACACAATGGTGGCTCCAGCAACAGTCAACCACAATAAAGGCCTGGTTATGTATGTATATATACATATGCATATCCGTGGGTATAAAATGGTTACGTAAATCTAACATGACAACTATATGCCATTGGTCTTTGCAGTGAACAACTTCCAAAGTACTACTGTTTTTTTGAGGATTTAATCCTCCCGATGCAGGCAGGGATTATCATAATCCATGATGGAAACCCCAATCCGAACTAGCCACAAAAAAATTATACAAATAGACTGGGCATTGTTTATATGGAATTTCGCCCACAAACATGGGATGACATGTTGATTCAACCGAAATGTTGATTCACCTAACGAAAAATTGGGGACATCACTGGCTAGTATATCATACTGAATTATAATCCTATGGAACTATCAGCCATGATTGTGGATATAAAAATAACGGTGGCAACATTTGACGGTTGTTTTCCACCTGCGTTCAGGAACTTTACCACGTACTCACGGAGCTCAAGGCTGGGCATAAGGCCAAAAATGAAATGCTCAGCTAAGAGATGGGTACCCGTAGATAATGAAACGTGGCTAGAAAATCCCATGGATTGATGAATTTCCCAGCTAGAAACCTCCATTGAAGGGATTTTCCAGCTAGCCATGTTTGATTGGAGGATAAACTTGTTGATTGTTTGATTCAACGATAGGGAAAATCCCCAAAGTTCAGTGAATCCCAAACCGCTTCAACATGGCGCCATTTTCATTGGTCGCTCAAAAACGAAATGTGCGGCTTCTGGGTAAACCTTTGATGGCTTAGTACTTCGATTCTTACTAAACATGTTATATATATATATATTTATTATACATGTTAACTCACAAACTTCTATTTCGCAGTGTATCTGAAATTGGTTATGGTTTCATACGAACGGATCTTTTCACCCTGGTTCAGGCCACCAGTGGTGACCATGCCAAGCAACTCAACGACTTGACGCAGGAGGCTGCCGTGCAGCCCTCTCATACAATGAGGGTTGAAACCGGCCATCGGTCCGATGCACCCTATTTCTCTCTCTCTCTATATATACCCAGATGCTCCATGAATGGAATATTTACCTACATTTGGGTCATTTTTGGGTAAATGTTCATAAATACTCCATACATGGAGCATCTGGGATAGATAGACAGATAGATAGATATATATATATATATTTATATGGGGGTGTCCATACATGGGGGATCCCCACATAATTGGTTTATAAATGCTTACAATCTAGAAAGGAAATTCTGGTGGCATGGATAATTTGGGGGTACCTTCATTTTAGGAAACCCTTCTCTCTGTCTATGTAATATTTGTATATTTATACATGTGTGTACACATATATATATATGTGATTATATATATATACACCTTACACATTAATCCAACTTAGGATTGGCTCCAAGTTATGTGTACATCCGCAATCCGGTACGATGCTACCGCTGTGGCACCTTGTGTCTGCACAGAACACAATCGGTGGTTGATGGTCTTGTTTCGATTTCTCCAAAAAGGTTTCATAGGAGTATAGATAGGTCTACCGGTCTACCATATAATTTCATTTCTATGACATCCATTTGATCATCGTTTTTAAATTATAAAGTAGTTTCAATTAAGAGGTTGTGTCAAAAATTGACATTGGGGATCGGGGCGGTTGCCCGATTAGATTCAATAATTATCTCGATGCTACCTCAATGATAATAGCCAAATCCAGGCTTGCCTCAATGTGGGAGATGGTAATTTCACCTCGGTTTGTTGATTATCCCAACAAAAATCGTTGAAACTTCAGTAATTGTGGAGTGTGTCCCCAGTATCATCCCATTCTCATCTACTTGCAACCCTTTACAATTTCGTTTTAATCCCATACATTGTCCCCATACATTCTCATACATAATCCCATATGCAATCCATCTTCCAATCCTTTCCATAAATCCATACGAGTGCCTGCGTCGCAGGTCATGCATCAGCGACACGCTGCACTGCTGCTGGAAACTCGACGGTGAGAGAGCCATAGAAATTCCACAACAGAACGGACTTGAGGTGGATATCCTACCGAAAAAAAAAGGTTCTGTTTTTTTGCTTTCCCTGAAACACCGTGTTTGAACATATCAATTTTCCTGCCAGTTGTGTTGCTGCCATCTAGATATGGGGTTTCCTGTCAATGCTCCGGTGAAACATCATGACACCAATTGCAGATGCAGGAAATGTTCCTCTTGGTGCCCAGAAGTTTGTTTCAATCATGGCATTTCCCTACAAACCCACCCGATGATTCACATGCCCGATCGAAGATGCGTCTTCGGCCTCCCCATCTCTCGACAAATTTTCATCATTTTTGGTGGTTCGAGTTTGTCTTGTCTCTCGATATACTTGCATAGACCCTGCGTAGATCGTGTGCCCAGATGATCCGTGATCATCCATATATATATATATAATTATATGTAATTATATATATATACACCCCTATATATATATATCCCTACAATATATATATATATATTTATTTATTTGTCATTTATATATATATTGTATTATCCTACATTGAAGTAAAGATAGTATGTCGGAAACACCCAGGAGACAAGCAAGGCTGAGCGTGCGTGCGAGGCAGGGCTCGTGTTCCTAAAGCCCCCCGACAGTTATGGTAGGTTGAGGGATGTTGGGGGTCGTGGGACATGGTGTGACATTGAAGCAAATTTTCAAAGTCCCCACATGTCTTTGCTTTCAATGGAACATAACCAGCCAACTCAGCCAACCAGCCAAATATTGAAAATGATTGAAACATACCGAGCATTCTGACCCCAGAAACCTTGGGAACAGGTGGAAGATTCATCTCCCCAGTGGATGGAAGCGGTGAAAGAAATGGAACCTCGGTATTTCCGAGGCAATGGAAACAGCTCACTTTTAGCTTGGTTGTTTGGTTGTATAAATATTCGACACACACATATATATATATGTATGTATACACAATAAATATTTATATGATACGCATATAACCTTGTATAGCTACAACCTATAGATTCGCATGTCACATAACCATCAAACATTGGGGATGTGACCTAACGAATTTCCGTTGGCCCTGCCTTCTCGTTACATGCAGTATCACGATATATAGTGACGCTTGGCCAACAGAAGTGGTGTTAAATTATGGAGATATGGGATATGCATTGAGATATCTGGAGAAATTCTAGCGACCTCAGTGAGCCTCGTGAGCAGCCAGCTGACCAGACTGGATGGACAGAGATCAACGAAAAACTTGACTAGGATAGTAGCAAGGGAACCACACATGTGGCTACATGTCCCTTCAATCTTTGGAATCACTTTGCCTTTTCCTTAGGTGAAAGCCCTTGAGCTGCATAATTGCGTTGCAGTACTAGTTTACACTACCAGATGGTCTTGAGCTTGAAATCACATTTGTTTGACAACGGAGATTCTGTTCAAGGAATTTCAACTGGGGCTCCCAAACTATTGAAAATTGATTTGTTTGGGCTCCGCGGAATCCGGATGAATTTGGTTATTTCTACTAGGACGCTACCCGAACATGATGTATTGGATATTGTAGAACAATGAAACATGTGGAAACTATTTGGGAGATTTGGGGTACCGAAGCCTATCAAAATCATGGTTCCGCCACTCAAACATATTTGATATCCCCTGGAAGCCTTGATTCATTCTTGGATCTGCGCGTTTTTGGTGTCCCCCAAAGAATTGGGTTTACTATGGTATGGCCAAAGGATCAGTTCACAACAAGTTGTCGTTTGATGTCTTCATCTTCTTGGCCACGTTCATGAGATATGGCTCACACCCCTTTCAACATTGGGCATATAACAACCTAAAATTCAGTCGGAACACTAAGATCGAAATCTAAAAATAGTGATACACATGATATATATATATATGTGTAAAATTACATTTGAGCAAAGACCTAAAAGAATCATGCAGAATCTTTGGTGGAAAATGTTGCCCAAACTATGGAATGCGATATGGTCACAGGCTCTGGGAAGCAGAGAGTGTGCTTGGGAAAGAATTTGTCACATGTTTCCTGATTTTACCCGATGAATTTATCGATAACCAAATCGATAACGTAGCGATAACCAAAAATTGCCAAAAGGGGCCCCGGGCAGCCAGAGACCCACTTCAATTTTGCGTCAATGCCTTGAAACATCTACTTGGGGTGGCCCAGCCTGGCCTTGAAACCTAGCACTGAATATAATTTTGGTCTAAAGATCCAAAGAGATGAACATAATCTGCAGAAGCAGAAGGCGCGCAACAGTGCAAAAACCAAGCTGTTCTGAGGGAAATTCTTTCCGCGCTTTGAAGACAAACAGTGGACAGCAGACTGCTGACCATGAAGTGCCCCTATTGTTGCCTGTGGAGATGAATGGAAATGGATCTCCAAATCAACAGCCATTGTTTGACATGCTCCAAAACCATGTAAACCGATATAGTGAACGATCTAAATCGATAACTTTTGCTCATGACCGCCTTTGTGACCCTTTGTTTTGGTCCCCGCTCATATATTATTTTTCTTTTTTATGTAAAAAATGCTCCTTTTCTGCATAGTGGCGCTCCCGGCGCAGCTGAGGAGACCTTGACGGAGATCGTGGGAAGTTTGGAGCGCGAAGGCCCGGGGTGAACAATTTAATTAATGATCCAGACAAAAGTAACTGGTTGGCAAACCACATGTGCATTCATTGCAAACCAAGACGTTCCAGGAGTGTGGTATCAGGAGCATAACACCCCATTGTTGGGATGCTAGCCAACAACCAGAAAATCTCCAGGTTCTTTGTATAAATCTATTTCTCCATAGAACAAGTATATGTAATATCCATATAAAGACATATGTGCCATAATATGTGCATATGTAATGCGGTAAACCCAATAATAACCATTCCCATTAGAGGATTATTTTTAGGAATAGCTCTATGATAGGAAGATGTGAAATGGCGCCGCCCGCCGCCACCACCACCACCACCATCATAACGATAATAGTACTGTAATAATAATCATCATCATTCGCATTATCCCCATCCCCATCCCCATCCCCATCCCCATCCTCATTGTCGTCATCATCATCATCATTATCATCATCGTTGTCGTCGTCGTCATCATCGTCATCATCATCGTCATCATCATCGTCATCATCATCGTCATCATCGTCATCATCGTTACCCTAAAGATCAGTTTAGGCAATTTGGAATGAATTAGGTAACTTTTTTTTTAAAAAAAAGCGATTTATGGTAAAGCGCCCCCTTTTGATTTTAGCAACCTTTTTGTTAGAGGTGATAGCTTAATGTGTTGTCAGCTGCTATGAGCGTCTGATTTCAACTCAAGTGGGTTCCATGCTTTCTGCTTCCTCTCTGGCTTCCTGCACCATTCCTACGACAAAGTTCTCGAACCGGCCGCTGCACATTGTCCTCATCCACTTCATTGCTGCCACGCTGGGCGCTTCGCCGTTTGTTGTGCGTTTGCTTCTAAACCCTTCTTCTTTCATTGATGCTGCTCTCGGTTCGCAACTTGCGCCCCATGTCCATGTCCAAGTGTTGCTGTTCCCGGCGTGCGCGCACTTAGCAGGCGCGTTGCTTGACAGCATTGACCTCGGTGACGTTGACGGTGCGGTGGCATTGTTGTCTGACGGGCAGTGCCCAAATCACGTGGATGACCGTGGCGTGCCGCCTCTCTATGCCGCGCTGAACCAAAAAAACGCGGTCATTGCGAGCGCGTTGCTGCAAGCGCATGCCGATGTACATTGCCGCTATGACTTCGGAGGTACTGCGCTACACCTTGCTTGCAAGGCCTCCCTGCGGCAGTCTCGCATTTATTGCAGGCAAAAGCGGATGTTGACGCACGCGACAACGAGAATGACACCCCACTTCACGTGGCAGCCGTCCACGGAGATGTTGCGTGCGTCCGCTTGCTGCTGGAAGCCGGTGCACACGCACGCTCTGCTGATGTGCGTGCTCGAAACTTTCTCCTCGAAACGCCGCTTGTGAGCTCTTTCAGTTGTGGTGTGCGCGGTGCGGTGGTCGCGGAGTTGCTGGACTTCGACTGGCCAGAGGAATGGCTCACGATTCTTTGCATGAATGTGCCATCGTTCGCCTTGATGCTTGAAGTCAGCAGTGACTGTTCTGTTCAATATTGATGCCGTTGAGGGGATTTCGGCAAAATAGGAAGTTGGGGGCAGCATGGAAAAAACTTAAAAAACAAAATGCATGGAATTTAGCATTTTCAAAACTCAAACTCAAAATAACAGTTTTTTTGGGGTATAAAAACCATTTTACACCAAATAATGTTCAGAAAGATCAAAGCACCAAATGGTGTTGCTGACAGCATTTTTTTTGTCACCTTCTCTAGCCAGTGGATGGCACAATTTGGATAAATTTGGGCCAATGTGCAGACCATTTGTGGCAATGATGGAGTATGAGTCGGCGTGCTTTCTTTTTTCAAGTTTTGATTTTGGTAATCTCAAAAATGCATATTTATTGTGACCTCAGTGCATTTTTCATCATTTCTCCCTTCAAACCTCAAAAATATACGAAACTTATGGACGTCTCCTAAATTAGTAATTTGACCTACAACCAAGTTCGCTATAGTTTGATTAAATTTAGAGCAAGCATTTACTAGTGCATTTTTGACAACCAAAATATACTTATATACCTTACCTGGCCTTACCTACCTAAATTGATTTACTACTTTTATACCCATTTTTTAAGTGGTTCTTGTTTGAATGAACACATGTCACATATTTGGTTTCTGTTTTTTTGCAACTGGGTATGGTGCAGATTTTGTATCAATGTTGATGTGGTTTGTGCATTTTTGTTTGCTCATTTTTATGGCATTTGCATTTGCGTGTGTGTGTTGATTGCTGATGTAAGGTTTGTCCAGTGGGTTTACTTGTGAGAAAAACTGTGCGAACGGATTAGGGGTGTGTTTTCTTCTTTTGAACAACTACTTGTCAAATTTTCAATAATTTGAACCTGTTACCTATGTGACCTTCTTCCTTCTTATGATTCACTATGCTACCTGTGACTGTACTTGAGTTGCTTCTGATGATGCATGTTACTTATGCATGAAAGCATTGTGGAAAAAGAAACTGAAACCAATGATTTTTGTTGAAGGGTATTTCTGTCCACCTACCTTGTTTTTGATTGCTGTTGGTTTTGAGTTGGTTGCCATGTTGGCCGTATAAGGGCAAGGGCCCATTTTTGATCAATCAGCTTGCGAAATCCCAAAAAGTTGTTTAGTCAGCTGGCATAGATGTCGTCATTTGGTGCTGCTGTAGTGACATGTTTACTTGAGGTCATTACTTGAGTATCTTGCTTGAACTGGTTACTTGAAAAAAAAACGTGAGTATTAACACATTTTTTCCCTTCACAGAGATGTATCTGAAATACGTTCATTTAAGTGATAGTTTTAATCACTCCTTACCTGAGATGATGTATCTCTGATGACTGCAAGTTGTCTGGTGTGTTGCCACTTTGTCGCACAGTTGGAAATGGTGTTTCAACTTGTTCTCGGCCAATCATGAGTTGAATATCCCATGGATATATGTTGTATATACTATGAATGTCTGTTGATTTTTGCCCTGAATTCAATATGATATGAGTATGTCTCAGGGTGAGGTGTCCTTTTTGGCCCGCAAAATATTACTTTGAAGAGCAAGAAAGGACACCTCATTTTGAGACATCGCTATATGTAGATTTTACAAACTCCACAAGAAACTTCGAGTCAAGGCTCTATCACTTTCTATTTTTTGTCATTTTGATGAAGTTATTTTGAAATTTTGATGAGCAATAGAAGAAAAATATTGTGCAGTTCATATGCAGCTGGTATGCTGTTTTGAAAACGTCATAACTATCTTTTTGCAAAAAGGTATGGTTTTTTGGTTGAAAATTAAAAACAAAAACAAAACTGCATAAGAACTGCATGCAGTTTTTATTTGTTCATCAAAATTTCAATAGAACATCATCAGAAATGCATAAGAACCTCAGGAAAAAAACATGGAAGAAATCCGAAGGCAAACAAACATTGGCTATATATTGGGAAGTGCTTATATACATTACTATATAAGTGGAACTCCTTGTTGAACATACCCACAAGGATCTAACATAATTGCCACAAGTAATTCCAAATTCATTTTTTCATCGTTCTTGTCAATCTGCGCCAGACATGATCAAGATAAATGATTAACTTATGTTCATGCAAATGCATACAAAAAAGAAGCAATGCCACAAGTAATCATGTGGCCTTGGCAGTTGTCCACAAATAGAGCATATGGCATATGGGTTACAGACGTAACAAGTTCAATAAATGACATGCTGAATACACGAGTATCAGTTTATATACTATACAAGAATAGTACAAGTGATGATGCCTCAACATAGGGGTGCCCCAAAGCTTTAAATCCCAATTGAAGAATGTACACTTTGGGGCACCCCTATTTTTTGACAAGTATATATTTGCATATTCATATACTTACATATTTTTCTTTTTGGTATGGACAAGATAGGAACAACAAATACGCACATGGCACTCACAAGTAAAATATGCTGCAACCAAGACATTTCACAGACAATATGTTTTCAGCTGGTTCATTACCGGAGGGTTCAAGTTGCCAGTCTTGTTTATTACCTGAGATTCTGTGATGAAAGAAATGGCATTGTGTTGAGAGGTTCATGTGATAGAATGTGATGATTATTCATGGATGATGTTACTTGAGACATGTGCTGATGTTGCAACATATCTCATGTCAACCAAGTTCATACCTTGAATTTGCATAGGGATTAAGAACAGTGGCACCTCAACTCCCAGGGTGTTGTTGGTGCACACAATGTTTTATATGAGTTTATCTCACAAGGATTTGTGACTTACACAAGTAATTGGGAATTACAGTCAAGTAGCTTTGCATTACCCTCAAGTAACTATGAATTACACTCAGGTAACCATGCGTTGTACACACAGGCAACTACGAATTATACACACAAGTTTCTCTGAATTACAAACAGATTGCACATCATGACACATAAGTTGCCTGAGAAAGTTGCCTGAGAAACATCAAAAACACATACAACACAAGAAAATGCAATGCGCGTTTCATGCATCTTCAAATTTGGGCTACAACTTGAATCAATTTAGGATGTCGCCACAAAATTTGACCTGTTTTTTGATTTACATAAGTTAGACTCCAAAGTAAATTTACTATTTTCGGAGACTCTGGATACAATGTTTGTACAATGTTTGTACAATGTTCGTACAATGTTCGTACAATGGCCAAAAGTTCGTACAATATTGTACGAACTTTAGTGGTAGATTGTACGAACATTGTACGAACTTTTTTGGCCATTGTACGAACATTGTACGAACATTGTAAGAACATGGTACGAACATTGTACGGACTATGCATTGTACAAACATTGGCCCAAATATTGTACCAACATCGTATGAATGAACCATAGACCTGCAATATATCATCCTAATTCGGCAGAAAATATCAAGCTATCGATACCTATAGCCTATAACGTTTTATCAGAATTTCAATTATTAGAATATGCGAGTGCCCGATTTTCTTTCTTGTGCGGTTTATGTTTGACCGAAAAAAAAACCGAACCAAACGCACCCTTTCAAA